GTTAAATAATGGATTATTTATATCTTCTCTTCTCTTCTCTTGGTTTAAGACATTAAATTATATTGTAATTGGAATTTGTAAATTATATTACATTATATTATTTCAATTTAAAATTGAATGTTTATTACATCACTTATCTAAAAGGCCTTAATTTAACTTATTACCGTTTAAATTATTTAGCCCAATTACACATATATATATATGACTAGATAATGTATTACATAAAACAGATTATTGAAGTTAGAAAAAAAAAATAAAAGATTAAATTTATTCTCTTTCGAATATCAACCAAAACCACTTAGATACTTCAAGACAACCCCCTCTTTGCATCAAAATTAAAAAATTTTCAATTTAGACTACAAGCAAAAATCAGTCCATCGAATACTTAGTGAGCGGTTCGGTTTTGAATTTGGCAATCGATCAAATAACGATATCTTTAAGGATAATGTTTTTTTTACACGTAAATATAATCATTAAGAAACTACTTATAAATTTAAATGTCAAAGACACCTGCCATTATATATATATATTATACCCAAATACAAATACGAAAAAGCGCTAACCAATAATCGTTCGGGGTTTCTTAAAAAAAAAGGATATTTTTTTCATATATACATCTAACGCCCTCTTTCGGATACATATATGTAAAAATATAAAAATAAGAAAAATAATTTTTTGAGTGCAAATAAACTAGTAAACAGAGGTTAATTAAAAAAATAATAATAATATCCTATCTTTAAAAAATTTAATATCAAACTAAAAAGATTCGAACCAAATATTCATAAAGAACATCAGTTTATTATCAATATATATATCCAATCATAATTTAAAAAAAAATATATTATAAAACCTCTTCAAAATTAGAAATAGCAGTCTCCCATATCGACTAATCTGGCTGTTGTTTCCATCATACAGTTTCAATAGAAATAATTTTTTTTAAAAAAAATAAAAATAAGAAACGCATCCTTAGCCAAGAAATGATAATTTCACGGAAGGCGAAGGATAAAATCTATCGAAATCTTTTAATCAATTTATCTTTATTTATAAAATCTCTATTATCTTTTTTGCAATAATATTATTATTTTTATAATATTTGCATATTTGTTTTTAAAATTGTTATTTGTTTGAAGAAAAGAACATTTTAAAGTTTAATTTTAACGTTTTTACGTATCCGCCAAAATACGATATCTTTTTTTAAAGTTAGGTCATACAAAATATATTTCACAAAAAGAAAGGGTCGTTATACCAAAAAAAACCTTTTCCTTTTTTTTATATTATTAATACATAAACATGTGCATGGTGGAAATTCAGCACCATGACATCTTTTCCCAACTCTCTTCCGTTTTTCGTCTCCCCATTGCGGCTCTGCAAAGATGGAAAACAAACAGACAAGGAATACTAAAAATATAATTTAAATAAAGCGGAAAAAAAAAATAAAATAAAACAACACAACACTGGATGGTACCCGTCCCACATTTCAAAAATATCTCTTTCATTCTTCTTTTCTTCTTGCGGCCTGACCAAGATTAAAACATACCACAGGGATGTAATACATAAAGCAAAATCAGAAATGTTTAACATAAATTTTATTGCGCCGAAACGACAATTAATTTATTTTTCTTCCTTTTTTTAAATGGCCCGGCCAAAGATAAGGGTTCATTATACACCAACTCTTCAATTCGAACCTTTTATTTATACGAACACAGATGTTGGCTGTATTAAAAAATTATAATATAATTAATTAATCAAAACTTAAGCTTTCACTCTACTCAAACTACAAAGATTACGCACGTCGTAATGATGCGAAAGGCGTCAAGCGAAGTTATCTGTATTTTATGCATTACAATATAGTAAACGGCATGACAATTCTCAAGGAATGCGATATTCAAATAACAGAGATATATCATTGAAAAATAAATAAAATGATAAGTGAAAAATAATGCGAACATAATAATATTATTATTTTTTTCTTATCGGCCTCTTTTTTTTCACATTTTCTTTCCTCTGATCGGCCCCCAAAATCGACATTTTATCGATGGGCTCCTGAGCAAAATGTCAACCTGGTCTTATGGCCAGTCAGCCCCCGGGCAATATGCTGGTAAATATTTTTCTTTTTAAAATTTAGATTAATTTTAGTCATATGTTTGCGTCAACATGCTTTTTTTTCTGGCAATGCGTTATCTTTTAGTGTTGTTAAACGGATAACTGAATATTTTAGCCAGAAAAATTACACCTATGCGCCTCGAGATTTCGTTAATATATGTCTTAGACTTTTGTTCCTTCTATGAAGCAAAATCTTCAGACTCGCGTAATATTTTTCTGGATGGAATATTGAGTTAGCCGTTTAACAACAACTATTATCTTTTCAACTTTTAAATCATTTTTTTTTGAGAGCATTTTTTTTTTTAAAATCTGATTTTACCGGAAATGAATTCCGGCATCACCTGACTTATGGATTTTAGACAATTTTAATCGTTAACTTCTAAAGTAATTTATAATGAAAAATTTATGAAAAAAAAAATGAGTATAAATGATGAGTTTTAAAGTTGGTGACAGAAATATTCTTTAAATTCACCAGGGTATGGTAATTCCAAACATGATGGAATACTATTTCGGTAAACAGAGATTTTCAAAATTTTTTAACGCGCTTAAAAATATGATTTAAAGTTGAAAAAAAAATAACACATCGCCGCTAATACAACTTAGTGACAAAAATATATTTTTTTTTAAAAAATAATTTTCGATATAAAATTAAATATTGAGATTTAAAACTTATATTTTCTATTCAAAAATTCTCACATGGTTTCCTTCCTACAGCAAAATTCGGGAAATTAAATAGGTAACATATGAAAAAATGATCGTAAAAACTAGTGTTGTTAAACTAACTAACTTTAGTCAACTATAAAAACAGCGCAGCCATGTTTTTATCCAAAAATATTGGAATCAATCTTCAAGTTAAGACTCATCTTAGAGGTTTTCAATTTTTTAGGCTAAAAGCTCGACTAAACCACAATAGAAATAGTCAAGTTAGATAATTTAACAACACTAGTAAAAATTGAACAGGATTAGGAATTCAGATGTGCCCTTATCTCGGCAACGGGAAATAATTTATAACCATTCTAACTTTATAACATTCTTGTATAAAATATTTTCTGTCCAATCAGGGAAGGGAGAAAGGGGAAATAAAATTAACTCCTTGTAGGTCATTGGTCTAGCTTGGCCTTTATATCTTATATGTTAAAGTAGGTATTGAATAATCATGTCAGATTTGACGGGCTTCAACTCTATTCCTGTGAATTCTCGTTTCCGTATGGAGACATCAAGATAATTTTTTTAGATATCTTAGGAAGGAATAATGTATCGGATTCAATTTAAAATTCGTGTAAGTGTCATTTATCATGATTTAGAAAAATTTCTCTAGGTATTTATGACCAATACAGCTAAACAAAAAAATGTGTTGCCTCTATATCATCTATACCCAAAATTTGGTATGTGTAGACCAGGGGGTCAGGGAAGATCGTTAGAATAAGGCCAGAAGGTTCCTAGAAAAAGAATAATTTCTGACTCTCAGCATTCTATTGATGAAATAATAGGATCTGATTTGTCCGTCTTTTTAAAAGTAAGAAAAAGGGTAAAATATTAATTTCTTTTTTAAAGTAGAGATAAAAAATGAGCCATTGCTACTTAAAAATAGCGCCACTTATTATAGCCTACAATAGCTATCTTAAATATATAGGTATCATTCATTCCAACAATAGGATTCTATGGTGGAATTTTTACTATGTATAAATTCTACCTGCATAATATTATATATTTCGTTAAAAAATATTTATTAATTTTTTATAGCAGTATATAATATATATATATATGTAATTAATTTAAAGAATGTCACTAAAAAAACAGAATATTATTTGGGACAATATTTAAAAATAAGACAAATCGCGTTAAGGAAAAAATTAATATAATATACAAAATTAAATATATTAAAATGAGAAAGTATAGCAAAAAAAAATAGATTATATATATTTATATAAAATGCTCTTGGTTAAATTTTTATAGACTTTAAAACTAGCCAACGAAAATAATCTATATTTTATAATTATTAGAGTTACAAACCACAAGGTTTTCCCGCTTTTCGCGTCTCTAATATTTAGACCGGCGGAAAATTTTCTATTTAACGCTTTCCGTTTTACATTTCGATTTTCCTTCGACGTCGAGAAACTTTAAATTTATGGCCGTATAATAAGCGAGCACTCCCAAGGGAAAAAAAATAAATAGTGTTAGAAAGGAGAATATGAAAGGCATCTTTGAATAGTGAGATACAAGAGTGGCAGACAAATCACAAATTTTAGTCCCTTTCTTCCTATAATGGAACAAGAGTTGTGTAATAAACGGCAATTATTAGCAAAAATAAAGAGAGACCAATGTATAATTTTCTTAGATATAAAATCGATAAATACGTTGTTTATATATATATAATACTACTTTAAAATCTTATGAAATTTAGGGAGGAAATTTTTAAATTTTTATAATGTAAGGAAATTGCTATGTTTCGTTATAAAATAGATTTTTACATGTGAAAGGGGGTAAAAAAAAATATGTTTAAAAAAATGATATCAATGATGTTACAATCATAAAACAATATTTTACACTTCCACCTATAACTAACTCTCAATATAATATAAAGAATTACATTTTTAAATTTTATAAAACGATTATAAAAATTATCCTAAATTTCGGGTTAAATTAAATAATAATTTTATATATATATATATAAAAAAATAAAATGTTATCATATATTATACAATAATTGTATATTAAAGTTTTAGTTAAGCTTTGGCAATTAATTTAAATATATATATAAAAAAAAATTTTTTTAAAGAATTCTTAACATAGGAAATTTTAGAAAGAAGAAAAAAAAGGATATATTATCTAAAATATAAGCTATTTTTATACGAAAAATATGCATCATTCCTTTTTAACCAAGAAAAGTAAAGCGAAATAAACCATAATAGCGTAGTAAAATATGGGGAATAATTACAAAAATATTCGCTTCGTTTTAAAAGATTGACATTGTAAAAGGAACAATAATGGTAAATAAAAAAAATATGATTGGTCTAAAAAAAATGATTTGTGAATTTAAAAAAAAAGAAATAAAATACATAATTTCAAAATATTTTTCTGTTCCAAGAATTAGCAAAAAAAAAAGATATTTTATTAAGGAATTACTTATCATAAGGAATAGACAATAAATCCTTGTTATACAAATTTATGAGAATGATAAGGTAAATTTAGGTTCTTGTTTATATCATAAAAGAATATGAAATATTTTTTTTAAAAAAAATTATCAACTATAAAAGCCTTCGATATATTTATACACAAGTATTATTAAGTATAAAATATTGTCAAATAATTTTGGAAATAATCTCCCGCTAAAAAAGCAAATACGACCATAAAAATTACGTTTTTTTTTAAAAAAAATTGAGATTTTCTCTTCTTTTTAGGGTAGCAGAGGGGGGGGTTTAAGCGCTAAGTTTTAGACAGCGGTATCTTGGCGGCGTCTCTCCTTACTTTTCTTGCGTTTGAGGAATGAGGGCGTTCTGAACCCCGTGGAGCCGCTCTTCTTTTTGCCTTCCGCTTTGGACGGGGAAGACGGGGTAGGTATGAGAGAAGGCTGATTTTCGTTGGAAAGATTGGTAGAATCCTAAAAATTATTTATTATTTTTTTAAATAAATAAAAAAGGAATTAATTTTTATGGCCGCCATAACAACTTGGGATCGCAATTTAAAATAATAAGGGTGATTGAAGCATGCCATTCACATTTAATTATAAAATAAGAACAAAAATATAGGTGCCGACACTCTCCATATTGAGCGGACACATTTTTCCCCTTCATTACGTTTAATTTTTCTTCGAGCGTAACATCGGTGCTTCCATCGGTAGAACGAAACGTGGTGGACATGTCGATCACGTCACGATCCCCTGTCAAAAGAAAAGGTAAGCAAAAAAAAATATAAAATATTGTAGGTCTGAATTTTTTTATGGGTTGTTTGAAGAAAAAAAAATCGCTAACCGTTAGTATAATAGTATGAACCATCGTGCCCCGGACCGTTCCCAGACTCGAAACCGTTAACCCCATTTCCGTTGTAAATTTCGGCGCTGTGAGGGGTAGAGTGGGCCGATAGTTGTCTTTCATATTCTTGTAGGTGAGAATAATCTAAATGGTCGAACGGATTCTTCTGGTATTCCTGTTGAAAGGCCTGGCAGGATGGGAAAGGGGTTGAGGAGGGAATTGAGTAGGAAATAAAATGTGAAATATTAAATCGTAAAATTTATTAGATATGCATCTCTCCAAAAAACCTTTTAAAACAATAATAATAATTAAAGATTTAACTTGTCTGTTATGTTGATGATTTCTCTCTATGATCCCCTTGGAAGCAGCTCCCATTATAATGACTTGATCACCCAATCCACTCAATTTTCCGTCCTTTTGTTGCGAAGGAAAAAAATGGTTTATATATAAAAAATAAAACGTTATAATAAATTATTTGAATTTTTTCCACTAGGAAGTTAATAGATTATTCGATGAAAATGAATAGCCTAATCAGATAATGAAGATGAAATTCCCATCGATAACAAAAAATAAATTGTTTCACCATAGCCCTACGATCATGATTTTTTAAAACTGATATTAAATAAAATCGTTAAAAGACATAGTACGAAAAATGTAATCTTTATTTCACCCTTAAATATCTATTTAAAAGTCAATACAAAAAATAATGATTTAAATCAAAATAATCTTGACCTTCATTCCATGTCAAATGAGCAAAAAAATCAAGATTTTCGGCCGACCCCTTTCAATTCCGATAAAAAATCGTAGGCTGGTTATATATGTTCCCATTAGATTATAAGCAAAATTTCAGCGCATTAGCAACTATATTTAGCGGAGATAATCGGGGTTAAAGGTCCAAAAAAGTCCTTTTTTTAGGATCAAATATTGAATCTTATATCAATAGCTGAGTTAATAATTGATAATTATGGCTAAAACATCAAAATAATTTTTGATAAAATATGGGTCATCTTATGGTCAGTTGAAAACTTGAAATTAATATTTAGAAATGTATATGATCTCCGATTTTTAATTTTTTTAAGAAATATTATCCGTTTACTATTTTTTTAATAATTTCTTCAACAATTAGCCTGGCTGGACATTTATTTAAAAAATATTGCGATTTTTATACTTTAAAGAATCATAAAATTCGATTGTATAACTTTGTAAACCTTATTCCCCTGAGATATTAGCAGAATAAAAAAAATTATAATAATTTTTTTAATATTTCAATGTAAATTAATTGAAAAATCCGACTAGCACGCGAACAAAAAAGCAGGATTAAAGGAGTGCAGGAAAATTACATTAATTACCATGCCTACCCCCCCCCCCCCAGACTATGTCATACCCATCAGGACCAATAATGTCATGAAATTGTCATTAACTTAAATTATTAAAATAAACCAGAAGAGATAAAGAAAATTTCCAAGATTTTGAAAAAATTTTTAAGCAATAAAAATAACTTAAATTAACTTTATAGAATTTTGGGTACCAAATGAATTTGAGCAATTTCTGATCAGTCTTTGAATTTTGAGCAAATGTTTAACACTGAAAAAATTAATAAAAATAAGCCAGCCATAAAAAATATACTGATTAGCAAAATTAATTAGCGAATTAAATCGATAAATCGCAGTTGCTATAAATATAAATTGATTTCTTTAGTATTTTTTCACAGATTGTAAAAACTGATTCATTTCTTAAACATTTTTCTAATTTAAAAAAAAAACTAATATATTTTTACTTGTAGTTAAAAATAAATAAATTTTTCTAAACGAAACCTTTAAAAGATAAGCTAAAGTGTTGCAATCCACTGAATAAACCAAAACATATAAAAATCATAAAAAAATCTAAGATCGGTGCTACCTTGGATGCTTAATATAATTAGTGATTAATATCTTCAACAAATAAATATGTAATTCGTGCCGATACCAGTTAAGTAAGGTCCACACATGACAAATGTAATGGCTGATATAACAGCAGGAGAAGATTACTGTATAAATTCTTATAATTATCTTTTGGCGCAAATTATTCGTGATCCATCTCATCCAAAATGTTATTTAACAAATTGTGATCAATGCCCTGTTATAGAATCTCTTAAGGGCCAATTATACCAATTGTTTCAGAGAAATCGTATAGAATATGTGACGTTTAAACAATGGATCACGGTGGATAGAGCAAATCTTGAAACTATTATAAAGTCCGTTGATGATTTCATCGAATATCTATTAGAAAAAGTTCAAATATGACTGCTTCACTTGTTTATAGCTTAACAAAGTTTATGAAGAATTCTAAGGAAAATTTAAAAGATGGGGAATTCGTAACAATACTAGATTATTCTGAGAATTATTCCTTCATTTTACAAGATGAAGTACAGGAATTTCATTGGAACAACGTGTAGGCTACTATACATCCATTTGTAGCATATTATAAATCTGGAGAAGATTGAAAAAATATAAATTTTGTCATTATATCCAAATCATTAAACCATAATACTAGTGCAGTCCACCTTTATCAAAAATTTTTTATTAATTTCTGAACACCCAAATTTAATTCTAAATCAGAAAAAATAATATATTTTTCAGATGGAGCCGCGCGTCTCAATACAAGAATCGCAAAAATTTTATGAACATATGCCTTCATAAATATGATTTTAATATTCCTGCCGAATGGCATTTCTTTGCCCTGCTCACGGCAAAAATTCATGTGACGGTATCGGAGGAACTGTAAAAAAATTAGTTGCCAGAGCTAGTCTAAGGCCAAATAAAAATCAAATCCTAACCCCATTAGAATTATATAATTATGCTAAAAAAAAATTAATGGATTTCAATTTGAATATGTATTCAATCAAGAATATATGGAAGGGGAATTAGCCCTTCATAAAAGATTTAATTCTGCACTGCCCATACATGGGACCCAAAAAATTCACGAGGTTATTCCCATTGATCAAAATAGGCTAAAACCAAAATATATTCAAATTCCAAAAAATATAATATAAAACAAGTTTCGTTTTTAAATGAGAAAATTATATTTAAAAATATTAATGGATATGTAACATGTGTATATGATGATAAATGCTGGTTAGGATATATAATCGATAAAAATGATACAAATGAGGAAGTAAAAATCCAATTTTTACACTCTTGTGGACCTTCAGCCTCATTTAAATTTTTAGTGTTGCCTAAATCTCATATTCTCTCGCTGGTCAATCCTTCCACTCCCACCAGTCGAACATATATATTATCTCCTGAAGAAATCTCACAAGCTAGCCAGGGTTTGTATTCCTTTAGATGAAGTAAGATTTAATTAATATAAACTATCTCAAAATTTGTAAAGATTTTAAAAATTTCATGATCTGAATTACAAATATATATAATGCACATTGTAATCAATTTAGTATGATATATATACATTAAAATGTTTTTAATCATTAAAAAAAATGAATTTTAACATATTAAAACTATTATATATAGCGCCATCTATTTTTTTTTAAGTATAAAAATCGCATTATTTTTTTAAATTGATATCCAGCCATGCTAATTGTTAAATAAATTATTAAAAAAATAGTAAACGGATAATATTTCTTAAAAAAATTAAAAATCGGAGATCACATTCATTTCGAAATATTAATTTCAAATTTTCAACTTATTTAAAAAAAAAATTAATTTTGATGTTTTCGCCATAATTATCAATTATTAACTTAGTTATTGACATTAGATTCAATATTTGATGATATTTAGTTTTAAATTAATAACTAATTATTTAACATCAGTAAAAAAACAAAAAAAGACGTTTTTTGGACATTTAACCCCGATTATCTCCGCTAATATAGTTGCTAATGCGCTAAAATTTTGTTTATAATCTAATGGGAACATATATAACTAGCTTACCGAAAAGTGATTGATTTGACATGGAATGATCCGATATACCTACAGGAATGTGTATTAATCATAAATGTAAGTATTTTTATATAACGTTTATATTAATATACTTTTAAACAATTCAGTGCCAATTAAGCAATGCTTTATTCGCGCAATATAATAAAATTAATACACTTTTCCCATTGATAATTTTGCTACTCATCCGTTTAATTTTATTATAAAAATTTAGTTTAAATCAAAAAAAATCATCGTAATTAATATCAAATAAATCGATATTTTTTTCCAACTCCAATCCTGATTATCTTCTCCCGAATCACAAGGGTATAAGAAAGAAAAAGAAAATTCAAAAACCTGCATTTTATTAACTTCCTCCCAAGATCTACCTTCCAATATATTGGATTGAGGACCACCGTCTAACTTATCGCTTCTCCTATTGTCCTTTATCTGTTGTTATAATATATAAATATCGTTTTAATTTTATATTTAGCCTTACGCGTTTCCTATCATAATGTCTTTCAGGTTCTAAATATAATCTTTGCACTATGTTCAGTTCAAGATTTGTTAGAGTTAGGGCCATAAACTTTGGCCCATTTAAGAAATACATTTCATGATTAATATTTAAATTTAATGAAAGATATATCAGCTATAGGGGGGGGGAGGAGATTCACTTCAGGAATGTCGTAGTCGTAAGATCTACGAGTAGAGTTGATTGGACAGTTTTAGCGCCAAACAATATATATATAGCTTTTAGGATGCGCGCGCACTTATCTTTAAATAAGAAAAAAAAGAAGGAAGTTTTGTTCTGCTTTCTTACGTCCTGGTGCAATTTCTTGAATTCTTTCTTGTTGGTCCCGGTGGGGGCAAATTGGTCCTTTTCCTCCTTGATAGTGGTAGAATGATGAGCCCCATTTTCGCAAGGCACCCACTATTGATTAGTGAGAAAAAAAATATTAGCAAGTTAGAATCATTAGAATTTCGGTAAATTAGGCGTTTTTCATTTTTGAATGACAACCATTCTTGAGTGGATTCTTAAAGAACGGCCAACTCAATATTTTAAGCCAGGAAAAAAAATATAGCCCGAGCCTCGAGATTTGGTGCCATCTACGAGAGAAAAAAATCTTCAGGGTCGTGTAATATTTTAACCGGATAAAATATCGAGTTTAGCGGTTTCTCGGGTAGGGCCGTTTAAACGACACCTGTCAGCGAAACTACAAATCCCAAATTTGACTCCTTTTCTTAACTTTCCAGATTGCACTTCTTCTGTCCTCCTCCTTCGCTCTTTTTGGCCCTTTAAAAAAAATTTTTGGACGACTTAAAATGTCATTTTATATTTTAAAGATAATAAGTAGTGTAGTAGTAGTAATAATAATACTACTTTAGTAATCTTCTTGGGTTGATTCGTTCCGATTTCCGTAACCTCCACTTTGGTATAAGCGTTGGGCGAATTGAGCCAATGAGTTTTTTCCAATTTTTTCTTGAAGTCACTGATTTTGAATAATCTAAAAAAAAAATAGAATTGATCGTTAATAGAGAGAGAGAGAGAAAAAAAAAATTAAAGGAAACTATTAAAGATGGCTTTCAAATTTATATATGCGTGCGTGCTAAAATTTTACCATGATTTTTTTAAATAAGGATCTCGTAGTAAGTTTTTTATCTTATCGCGGCGTCTTTCTTATAAGACGCGCGATTTTTTTTTGACAGCAATTTAGTTTGCTGATCAATCACATGACCTGTCAGCTTGGCAGGGATGTAATCCGGGAGGGGGGGAGTCGGCTGTGATTAAAAAAAAATTTAGAAATGCCACCAAAGTTTTTAGGTGGCATACGCGAGAATGGCAAATGATAACTTAAGAGTTACAAACAGATTTCAGGGTGGTCATCTAAGAGAGCTTATGAATAAAATCTTTGATTGACTCGAAATAATATCATTTTATAATTGCGTCAATCAATTTAGCAAGAGCGAATGATAACCATAATAAAACCCAAAACATTGTAATATGCCACAAACTTTTCGTCCCAATAATCGGAGCTGGAAGACCAAGCCGAAGGGGGTATCTCTATGTCATTGTAATTTTTCTTCCCCCTTTCTCTCCATACGTTAGCATGCTTGTAAGGGTATCCGGTTTTGTAGCCCTAAGCAAAATACAAGTATTTTAAAGGAATTTTATGAAGACTAAATCGATCTTTATGTTGTTTCCCAAACAAGCAACCTTTTCATTTACTCAGCCCCATTTCCCCTACAAAATGGATACGCCCAATAAAATATTAGTAATGTTACGCCTATATATACCGCGGTATCTAAGTATCTCATGTAACTCTCAAATAGTATCTCCCCGAGTCCCCATTTATATCCACCCGCTCCTTGGTCCTCGTTAACGTTGCGATCTTCTTTCGCGACATTTTTCGAATCTACGCCCAGATCGGGCTTGTTAGCTGTTTCGAATGTGGCCTTGGCCATCGAATCGTTTATGAGCGATAAATTTTCCATCCCAACTGATAACGCCTTGACCTAAAGTGAAATAGATTTTAAAATAAAATAAAAATATAGGCCAACATTGGACATGGGTAGGATGGTCCAAATATAAAAATATTTATAACATAAGAATTCAACTAAAATATTATTCATTCCCATTGTATTTTTTTAGAGCTATAATTTTTATTTTTGTAAAAACTCTGCTAAAAATATTGCACTTCTAAACTCCATCCCAAACTAATTGAAAACCCTTTAAGAAGATTTTAAAGTTTCTAATCCTTGTACTCTATTTACGATATTCATTGCTCCAAAAAGTTTCACTGTAAACAAAAAAAATATAGCCTACTTGTGTTTCGCAAGCCAGCATAATATGGTAAGCATAATGAAAGGCTTCCTCTATGGTCGAGCCGCAAGCTAAGAGGCCGTGATTCTTTAGGATCAAGATCTGTAACAGAAATATATATTATGTCGATTATGGTTTAACTATGTTTCTCATTTCAGGGTCTAAAGATAAGAGATAATTGCTAAACCGATAAGATATCAGTGAAATACCCTTTTCAAAGTTTCCCACACCTTTTCCGCGTGTTTCACGCCTGGCTTATTTAAGACCCCAATCACGAGTTTTATATTCCCTCCCCTTTAGTTTATCGACAGCCATTTTTCCTTCTCCTTACTTACTAAATTATTACACTCGCGTATGTAAAAATTCCTCCTCTCTATCCCTCCATTATAGGGCTTGGGAATCAAAAAATTACTCTGTAAAAGATAAAAAAGTCTATATATCGCCATTCACTAGGAATATCAGAGCAAATCGGGTGAAGGAAATGAAAAGCTTTAAAAATATTTATAAATCCCCATCAATCTTAAACAATTCCAAAAACAAACAAAAAACTGAGTTCTTTCTTTTCCGGGCAAGCTTTACAACTATAGAATCTTCTTCTACCCATATAATTCTCACGGATCTCAGGGTTAAATCTTATTTCTCGCGTTTTCATCTTTCCTTAAGGAACCTTGTTTCTCGGTCCCAGGTCCCGGATAAGATCCTCCTTTTCTTGTTCGGTTAGGGCGATGCCTTGATACTCGTGGTACCCTACGAGGGGTAAGCAGAGCAAAGCCTCTTGGGATAACGGGAGCAGGCCCCTGGATTGGCAAGATACGGCCACGACGGATGGGGTATGAATATGAATGGCGCATCGGAGGTCGGTCCGCGTTCCGTGAACGGCACCGTGAATTAAAAAGCCGGCTCTGATGTTTACGTATTTTTCGAAAGATTCGATAGATTTTTTTTTTATACTAAACATTTGATGGACATAATAATGTGTGCATTTAAATTTGATTCATGATTTGACAGGTCAGAAATCTACTATTATTGGAGCCAATTGGCGCATTCCTATCCTAATATAAAAAAAAATGATAACGCACTTGCTAATTCCCAACGTGGTGGAACCGGGATCTAATATCTCGCATTGCATGTTAACTTTGACGAGGCTGGAAGCCGTTATTTCCGAATACAACAAACCGAATGGATTGATGAGAAAGTGTTCGTTATCTGGGCTTATTCGAACCTGAATCATATTTTTCAAAGAGGATAGGATAATGATAATCTGTCATTGTTTTTAAAAAAATATGATAACGCGAAAATATCAATGTGGCGCCTTTTTACCAGAGTTATTAAAAGTATATGGATACAAAACAATGGTATCTGTAAATACATTTAGATATATGTTTTTTTATATTTAATAAATAATATTTGAATGCAATTCCTTAAATATTATTATGTCCGAGTGTATTTCATTACAAAAACAAACCAGACAAATTTTATAAACACGGTAAATTTTAATTTACAAACAATCAAAGTTTCTAACTGATTTGTGATAAAAAAATCAATTCAATATCAGATTTGCTTTTTTAAGCATCCACTTAGAAGATATGAATAGTGGTATAAATTTTGACACAATCCCAATATAAAGTTGTCATTCATAAAATATAACGCCACTCTTGTAGACATGTGCTCTGATAGAAGACTTGATAGTTAAACGGGGATGCCTTAGAGATAAAAAAAAATTTATGTTTCTATTAATGAAATCTAACAATAATTATTATTTAATCATATATTTTGTATATTAGATGTCGATTCTGTATAAAATATTTTTTTTTAAAACTCAGTTTTAACATAATATGAATTTTAACAGTGAACTCCACTAAGCATACTTTACATTACACACAATTATCAATAAATTTTATAAAAATGTAATCTATACCATTTTACAGAGTTGTTAAAGGATCTAGATACTAGATATAAAAATGTGGTATCTGTACCTGTATCTAGATAGATTTTTGATTAAAATATATGTACCTAGATATTATTTTAGACCATGTATCTGTATCTAGATCCATTTTAAAAGTATCTTTTAACAACTCTGCCATTTTAATACTAATCTATCTGCATCTAAGATACAACCGAAAAATATCTTTCAACAACTTCATGCAATAATAAATATGTTAATTTATAGTGAGCCACAAAATATTTTTTAAATTTGGCGATAATCGAAGCTTAAATGGTACCAATTGCAATGGGTAAGTGGTATTTTTTTGAATGAATTTAATTTTAAATTGTGGTAAAAAACCTAACACGATGTAGGGAAATGGTTTTCGTTTAGTAAATTGTGGAATTAATTAGGGTAACGCGCAATTTTTGAGATTGAACTAATGGTTAAAAAAAAATTTGGCCCAGCACGGATTTTCTAATTTCTCTTAACTCTTCTCTTCTCTTCTCTATAGCCTGACCCGAATTTATAGGTAAAAAAAATTTTTTTTAGCCCCACTAGGGAAATTTGTAACAGAAAATTTTTTAGGCCCAAAACGACCTTGGCGGTTTTATCTTATACGATTCAGCTCCATCAGTCAGCTGTGACCTTAAATTGTTTAAGGTTGATATATTTTTTTAGGCTAAAATTTTTTCGGAATAAAAAAAAACTCTCCTGTTTTTTTCGTTGTTTTCTAGTTTTCGTCTCTGATCTGTAGCAGACTTTAACACATTTCATTGTTAGTATACAATCTCCAGAAAAAAGAAATTCATATCAAGGATCGAGAATCTCGCGGTGAGTTCGGTTTTCAAAGAAACTCGGTATATGCTGCGAACCATTGATGAGTGCCAATCACAAATTTTATCCAATCAGCCAGCGGGTGGAGGTTCGTCAAATTTAAACGAAACGCGAAATATCGATGATAAATATGTCGAATACGAACTGAGATGACGGCATAAAAAAAATATGAACGGTGCATTTTTAATTCGTTTTCACTTATATAAGCTAAGCAATAATATTTTTAAATTTTTTTACAAAAATATGGCGTCAACCCCGGAAATGGAAGGAGCGAAAATCGATCTCGAATAGAAAATAATGGCGGTAAATAATTTAAAAGTTTTACCGAAATGTGATTGTAAATGCTTTGGCCCCAATTCATCACGTCGACTAACCTGTAAAGCGAGGCCAATTTGCAGCGCAATACCTTTTCCCCTAGCGGAACGTGACTCCAGTCGGCTCCCCTGATATCGTTTACGGGTAGGATTCGAGCTGTCAGTCATTATTTTATTTATGTTTTTTTTAAATGGATTCCGGTTAAATATATAAATATAAAGAAAGTAATATTGATCAATGAAATATTGTCGCTAGCAAGGCATCGTTAAACCGCGATTTAAGTCGATTTTTTTAAAAAACGGCCACCTCGATATTTTAGACCGAAAGATGTAGACGATCACGTCTTTGTGTGCCAGGCACCCCAAGAGCAAGCTCTTAAAGGCGTGGCGTAATATTTTACTGGACTAAATATTGAGTTCGCCGTTTTTTAAAAAAAATCGGTTCAAAACGGGCGGTTTTTAACGACACCAGCGCTAACTGTAAAATGAGGCGTTACCCAATCCTCTATGAACGAGTAGTAAATATTTTGCTAGAATTATTTATATTTTAAATGGTCAATTAGAAGAGAAAGAACTCTTGAAATACCCAATCAAAAGGTATAACGCAATTAATTTTTTTTACCGTTCATGCTCGATAGCGGCGAAGAGGCCAAACTGAGCTTGTCGGGTCCCGGGGAGCGATTGTAAGAGGTCAATATATCGGATAGGTGGTGCAAGGCTATGAGGGATGAAGGGTAGTCTAAACCATCCCTCAGCTGTTCCATTATAATTTGCTCCAGATCTTGTTTAAATGCCTTTAAAAAAAATCATTTATCCGTATAAGAAGTTGTGTAAATTGTAAGGTTCCTTCAAATTATAGATGTATTTATTTTCCCCTTTCTTTAATAACATCGTAAAAGAACTTAGATGGGAATGGGGGAGGTCATTAACAGATATAACTAGATTTTCCGCAGTGCGCGTGCGCTTGAATACAACTCGAGCGAGAGTTAAGGGTTCGGTTCGACGGAGATCGAGTTTGATTATTCGATATTGTCGGAATTATGGTCCAGCCTTTTTTCAAGGTTATACCAGCCGTTTTGGCAGATGTCATTCACTGTAAATATTTTTGGATCTATTGCCCTTGTCTTATCCAACCATCAGTCAAAGAATTCGACAACCTCTAATTATCTCGCAGTAAAAGGGGACTAGTAAATATCATTCCAGACCCCCCCCCCACCAACTAAAACCCAAAGAAAATGAAAAATAAATCTTAACAATTCTAAAATGAATTTATTTATAGTATTTATTTTATGTCTAAACGATGGCCCAAAGTGTATTTTTTTTTTAAAAAAAAGAAAAGCCATTTTAATATATCTTCACATATAATTTTTTTTTTTAAAAATAAATTATTGATTTTAAAAATTAATATTCTTTCATTCTTTTTCTTTCCTTTCTTTCTTTTCTTTTCTTTCCTTCTTTCTTTCGATGTCGTTTTAAAATTAAAAGCGTGTCCGAAGAATATTATTGTTGTAAAACGATCGTAAAAAAATAAAATAAAAATAATTATAAATTGTCGCGTTTTTTTTAAAAAAAAATAAATAAATTATATTTACGTGTCTGATTAATATTTATGCAATATTTTCTTTTTTAAAAAGTTAATTTCATTTTAAATAGCACGCGACAAAACTTCTGTTTTCAATTAAAAAAAAACTATGGATCTGTTTGGCCCCGGTTTTAAAATCAAATTTTTAAACCCGGGCCGGGCCGAACTCGTAGCTTGTGAATGGAAAACATTATCCGGTCTTCCAAAAATCCTTAAAAAAAAATTACGTGATTCGTTATTTAAATGACCTCGTTGATGAGTAGGGGAATTTCGTTGGTATGGGTAGGATTATTTGACTAGAGTGTAGGGTGAAGAGGGAGGGGTTAAGAACTCGTCTCTTGAAAATATGAGGGAGTGGGGAGGGTAAGGTCTTAATAGGGTGATTCTATTGGGAGGGTAGCCATAGGAGGCTGTCTTCGCGCCAAAATATAACATTGAGTACTCTCGATTTTATCATCTCGAAAAAATAACCGCCTTTTTCCGCTTCATTAGCAGGCCCTGACGCTAAAAAATGCACATGCAAACCCGTAAATATCAGGGTTTGTCTGGTGTCATATTTTATGGATAAGACAGCACTCCGCGCAGATCTTTGGCCCTCAATTCCACTTTTTATTTGATTGAATAAAAATAATAATTTCCATGTCATTCATTTCCCAACCCGTCCTTAATTAGTCAATACATTTTTCCCAATTTTCATTAGGATCGATTAGCCATTTTTGATCAAACTCGGTAAGTTTAAAATTAATCCTATATTCGCAAGTAATTAATTACCTACATGGCGGTAAACTTAAATGAGTAATTCCGCGACAAATCGACGAAAAAAAAATGGTCTTAACGGCCGATTCCTTTGGATTCTGCTTTATTGTTTTCGCGATCATTAATATTATGATTCCAATGGAATTTTGACAAATTTTTATATTAACCGGATATATATAAAGAGTTGATATGGTGTAAAAAAAAAGCGCCAAATAAAAACTTAATTTTAAATATCAAATTTAGTACGAATGGCTAGGCAACAAGATTGATTAATTAGGGGAAAAGACAAACATATGGCCATCTTGTATCTAGTTAAAGGTTCCATCTTTGCTTTTATTTAGAGACAAACATATGGCCATCTTGTATCTAGTTAAAGGTCCATCTTTGCTTTTATTTAGAGACAAACATATGGCCATCTTGTATCTAGTTAAAGGTTCATCTTTGTTTTTATTTAGAGACAAACATATGGCCATCTTGTATCTAGTTAAAGGTCCCTCTTTGCTTTTATTTAGAGACAAACATATGGCCATCTTGTATCTAGTTAAAGGTTCATCTTTACTTTTATTTAGCCATATGATTTGCTTTAATTTTTGTACAAATTCGTTTTACCGCGCAAATTATCGAAGGAAAACCAAACTTGAGTAAACTGGTCAATAAACACTAGAAGAAAAACCTAAAAATTGAAAGTCCTAGGTCATTATATAAAATTTAAGTTTTAAACTTAAAAACTAGAACAGATGATGGCCACGTAGAAGAAAAATTTTGGTTTTTTAACCCCCCCCCCCTCCCTAATTATCAATCTTCTAGTTAACTGGTATATATATATAATTTAATATTCAAATTGATTCGAAAAAGCGAATAATGGCGTTTTTGGCGCGTTTAGCCAATAATATCTCCGGTAACATATAGACAAGCTGCAGGTTTAGTGAGCCCTAGATTCATCGTTAAAATAATATATCTCGTAATTTATCGTAAACTAAAAAACAGATCGAGTAAAAAAAAAATCTTCAAATGAAAATCAGCTGGGAATTGAGTGGCACCATTATTCAAAATGATTAAAACGATATCAAAAACATAAGTATAATTTGCGAAACAAAAAGGAAAATATATATTATTTTAACCCAGAAATGAGAGGTTAATAAAATTTTACATTTCCAATTTACATCAATGTGAATAATAAGTAATTTTTAAAATAAGCTATCAAAAAAAATTTTATTATTTAAAATATGTATACGGTATTTATTAAATTTTTAAGGACATATTTTCCTAAGGGAATGAAAAACAACTAGTCCTTATCGCCTAGAAGGGTAAGCCGATTTCATCGCTACACCGCCAACGGAGAGCTCCCAGTAACAGAAGCCAAATTTTTTACGATGTTTTATTACAGTTTTGTTTCGATATTTATCTTCTCGAGAGATAGAAAAAAAGACCAACTGAACCTGTCAACTGTCAGGTTTAAACGTCCATCATAAACGAGGTTACATAAAAGTTAAAACGGTTTCGGAAAGTCACACTACCCAAAAATCATCCGCTACTTACATACGTCAATAAAATTTGAATTCTAGGGTCCTTTACCTTTCGTTCCATCTTACACCCCCCCCCCTCTCACCGTATAATCCGTCCACAAAACATTTCATTACACCCATTCGATTAATACATAATCGATTCATGGGTTAGATGATAATCTTATATAAAATGGCGCCTAAGATCCAACATCCGGGACTTGGAACCCGATCCGATAATAAAAAAGGTGTCGCATGGAATTGGGGGAACATTACCATTAAAAGAAAAACATACGGAATACGTTCCAGAACTTTTCCGGGTTCTTGTAAAACACGGCTCCTCATCGGGAACCGAAATTTCAAAGGAACCCTGGAACCGAAAATAAAGAAAAAAAAATTTGTCTTGTTTTCCCCGAAAAGTTCTAAAGTTCTCTATTCCAGATTTTTATAAAAATCTAACAAAAATATTACCCTAGAGTTAAGAACGGCAGAGACGCGTTTCCTGGCGTCCATGTCCCTCATGTCTTCCTTAACATCCGCCGGCCTTTGCATATTCTTGACGTATTCCGGATCTTCCGTGTTAATGGTGTCTATAAAACGCGGGGCGCGTGGTGTAGCCATAGTTTTGTCAAATTACAAACAAACAAAAAATAGCTAATTTTATCGAATGAGAAGGCAGCGATTTTTGGGTTTGCGAATAAAGAACGCGTAATTTTAGAACAAAATTCGTTATTTTAAAGACAAAACGGGAACGTTTGTAAAAGGCGATAACATTTTTTATTTCCGGTATAGAATATATTTCAAAATTTGATGGGCTCGTTGCTTCGATGATAGATTATAGCTTTTGATCGAAATTAAAATCCGCGAAAGATCAATATCGTCATAATCCCAATGAATTTACTAGACAATAAAAAATAATAAATTAGCATTAATATGTCTACAAATAAAAATAAATAAATGTTGTAGTTCGGATATAATTTTTTTTTTGCCACCAAATTTCAAACGCATATATTAAAAAAAAATTTTAATTTTGTTGTTGCCCCGCGGTTAAAATGATATTATATATTTTTTTAAATAATATTTAGAAAGTTAAAATCAGCTGATTTGTCTGAATTCCTATTGGACGTCGTCGTAAAAAAAACTTATTACTTACGACGAGATCAATCACAAAAAAAAATAAATCATTTTATTCGTTAAAATTCAGAACGCGTGGGAGACATAAAAATATAATTTATGATATTGATAAGGTCTTTTGGTTACAGTCTGGGAAATTTAAGGCGTGTTGTCTGGCCAGGCACAGATTGTTTTACGAACCATTTAAACATCGATCGATAACTTCTATTAGAACCCTGCAAGTCGGCTCAAAGTTCAGCCCCGTTCCTAAAAAAAGTAGGCCGGACGCCCATCCAAGTGCTAAAAAATCGGGCCGAAGCTTAGCCAGATCCTAAGATTTTTTTAATCGGGTGGGGCTCATGTGTCTTCCTTTCTTCGACAAAAGATTCGTTGGTATCATCAGGAGTGATAAAGCAATTTATATGAAGTGATTAAGGGCTGACATTTTATTTTAATTTACAATATAGGGCCGGCGTCGGGCCGAAAAAAAAATGATGAATTTATAGATGGCCCTAGTTTCTATCGAGTCAAGTGTTTTTTTTAAATTTTGTAAAAAAGAACAAACTCTAATTTGATCAGACGCGCATCCCTCGCAACTCGACATCCCATTTCGGGAATTCGGGTTTAAAAAATATCCGAAAATCGTTGATCCCCCTACTTCCGGTTATTAATCCGTCAATCACATTTCAAACTCTAACAAACAGGAACGAGCCATATTCGATAAGTCTTGCCTCCCCAAACCATCGAATAAAATGCAATTTTGATTTATATTTTACATAACGTAATACGATGGAAGACATTAAAACATTATATTAAATAACGAGACGAAATATTTAATTATATTGTATTGTTTTTTTCTTGCTTTTTTTAATATATAATAAGATAAAAACGCTCTCTCTCAACTCTCGTTTCAAATGATAAGAAGAAAGAAGAAAATTGTTTTTTTTTATTTGTTTTGAATCGATATTTTTCGTTAATAAATTTTATTTTTCCTCCCCAGCTCTTAACAAATTGGCTAGTAAATATTGTGATAATAAAAATGACGAGATGCGGTTTGTGGGGTAGGAATGAACGGGGCAAAAATGGTGTACGTAATTGTTTTGTTAAAAAATAAATAAATATTGGGGATCGTGAGGAGGAAATTAATATTATAACGAATCTCATTTGTCCAATTAACGACTATTATAATGTTGATAAATGCTAAAAAGTTTTTTAAAAAAAAATTGACAAACCTTATATTTCAATACTAATAAATATAGATCTGATTTAGATATTTTAATAAATAATCTGGAATAAAGCACAAGTGTTGTTGAACGGCTGTCGATTCGTGGCGATTTAGTAAAAACGGCCAACACAATATTTTTAGCCATGAAAAAAAATATCCGCCTATAAGACTTCCGAGATATCGATAACGGATTTCCAAAACCTTTAATATTTATGAGTGTCGCCTTTTTTTGTCTTTAAGAAGCTGATATGCCTCTGATACTCTTGAGGATGGGGGAGGGTGGGGCATAATGGGAGGACCATTACATCGTCTTATTAAATCGTTTTAACTGTAAATCGTGAACTAGCTGCTGGTTATTCACGATAGATCACCAAAGGCCTTGATTTAAATTAGATAGGGACAAGCACTAAACGTAAGAATTCGTTTTAGGGACGAACTCGGGTCTCTCAAAAATATTTTTTTTAATTATTCGGGCCGGGTTTGAACTCCGGCGATTTTGGTGCAACTCAAGAAATTCGCCGTTACGGCGGCCGGTTCGTGTAATTTATTATCCGACTTTTTCTAATCACGTGACCTCTCATATTTGTCAAAAAATGGATGATGGAATAATCTCCGCTTTCTTACATAATTAATTTTTCATCGAAAATATCGCGAAAAATAATTTTTAATTAATTTTTTTTATCCGGGTTTACTGGGACAAAACAATTAGTGATTTTTATAATTAATTTTTTTTATATATTTCTATTTACATTTACGAGCCTTAGAGGGATCTAAATCTCGACTAGAATCAACTCGATTTTCATTATTCATCGTTATGTCGGTGCTAAAAGAATTTTTAACAATTTAAAACCCAAGATTAATCTCAAAAAATTGTGGGTAGAAGCGGGAAAACCCTGTTTGTTCCGCTGAGTAAACAAATTTATTTGTTTCGAGGAAGGAAGCAAAATAGTTTAAACGTTTAAATTTTTCCGGAAAAAAATGAATAAAATATTATTGTCCTCCCCATGATAGCTTCCCTTAGCTCCATATTGTCTCCAAAGCGTCGTATTGCACGCTTGCCGCTAAAAACGGTACGAAAAGCTATACAATGTGACGGCATCCTCATCTACGGTCTCAATGACTTTGATGTCAAGTGGTCAACTAGATCCCTCGGATGCACCCTGGAAGGGTAAGATCTTACAATCGCCCTGGGGGTCCCCACAGACTAGCCATCTAGGTTAAGAAAGAATCAAGGTTTGCTATTTTTTCAAATTTAAAATATTTAAAATTTTGGCGCGTTAAAATTGTAACAAGTTTCCTCGGGGAAAAATCGGCTAACGCGGCGCGATCCAGGAGAGCGTCGTTAAAGAAAATCCGCCGAGAATCGAGTCGATTAACTGACTCCTTCAAAGTCTCGGCTATATTTATCGACCGCTACAAATAAAACCGGCTGAGGTGACAGTTTCTCCGGTTAAAACCCAGGTTTTAAAATTAGAAGCCATTGCCCACAAAATATAATCCGAAATGTGAAAATTATGGACAACACGGGTTTAGGGATAGCGATAATAATAAATTGTACCGTGTTATTCGATGTAGGTTAGGCCCATGTCCAAGTAAAAAGGAACATGAAATAAATTCATAATTCGCTATCAGTATTCATACGAATAATTCGCTATCCGATTTGTATTCGAATAGGCAAAACGTGTCGGGTTACCAAATTTTTAGCGGTCTAAGGCAATTTTTAGCCGGCTAATAAAAATAGTCTAAAACCAAGTTTTTAGCTGGAAAACTATCGCTTTGGCCTCTGGGTTTTTCTTAAATTAGAAAGACAACTAATATAAATTAAAAAGCCTGTAATGTTAACGGATTTTCTCTGGTAGGTAACCGAAGATTGAGGCGCCGACATTTCGCCATTACCCAACTGTAGGTAACAAGAGAATAGAATCTCTTCAATTTTTCTAGGTCGGAATCTGTTCTATAGAAGGTTCAACTAAAATTGTTCCATCATTTTTTTTTATAAAAAAGAATGAAAAAAGTACGAAAATTTTTATTTTTAATTTCAAAAAATAAAATAACTTTTTTGCTGTTTTTGGAATGATTTTTTTAAAATGAAATAACCCAGATGGGATACCATTATAATTTGGTGGGCAGATTTGGCAAGGAGCTAAAATATAAAAAACAAATAAAACAAAAAAAACATGTTGTTTTTTATTTTAATATTTTTAAAAAATATCCATCTTGTTTTTCGCCAAATTTTTCCAAAAATCGACCCGGGTTAAATAAATTTTAAATCAGAGTCGCCTAAAAAAATTATTTAGGGGTCTCCGATTCGAATTGTTGAACCGCGAATCTCGTAATATGAAAGGGAAAGGTAGAACGCGCGGAAAATTTGAGGTCCCTCTAAACACCGGGGGGTTAGGGTGATGGAAAGTACGAGTTGCGTAATTAAAATTTCGGGCCTGGCGGCAGGTACCTCCACACTCAACGTACATACTCAGGGGGCGTCTCCGCTACATTGGCACCTAGAGCGTAAGGTAAGAACAATTAATGGCCGGCTTTTATCAAATTCCGGCAATTAATTGATTGACCAGAACTGGCTCGAATCGAATAAGTTCTAAGGTACGAGATATATCTCGACTTTCCATGCGTGTTCCAAAACGGGATTGCTTTGGACAAGGATCAAAAAAATATGGGGGGATCCAACGATTCTAATCCGTATAAAAAAGATGATGATATTTCTCCACTCCTAGTGGAATATAAGAGTATATGAATGTTTTCTCTTTTACTTTGTGGTAAAATATTATCCCCCTTCTCATTAAATATTTATTATGTATAATAATAAAACAGCAAAACGACACTTATGTATAATATTTATAAAAAATATATAACGATTTATTATTAAATTTTAAAAATAAGTTATTGATTTCTTTTAATATTTTTTTTCCCCTTTTATATTATATTATATTTTATAAAGTTGTTGAGTTTTTTTTTTATAGTTCGTTTTATTTTATTGAAAAAAGGTTTTTTTCCGGTAATTCGTTACACGTGTTTTGATTCCATTCGATTCGGAATTGAAATGGATACAAATTCAATAAAAAAGTTGGGGTTGTGATTAGGAAGATTTAGATTTCCCGCGAAAAACAAAATTCGGGAGTAAAATGAAATGAATGAATGAGAAATAATAACCATCGTACGAATGGGTTCAACATCTTTAAACTATAGCTAGAACTATTATTACAAACTTTATATTTTGTATTAGCTTCCCCTCTTCACCATTTTTGATTCATTATCGGTTTTTTTCCTTTGCCCTTTTATATTTAGGCCGATAAGTGTATCATAGTTCGGAACTGAAACCGAAGACCCTGGGAATCGGAGCAAATCTAGGAACCGGAGAACCGGATGAAATGGAAATAGGAATCCCGGAAACCTGGAATCCTTAGAACCGCGTAAGAATTTTAATTTTTAAAACAATTCCAGATTTCAAATTCTGGTTTAAGGTTATTTAGCTATGAGAGCTCCCACTGAGCACGATAGCGTAGGACCTAGCTGCAGTGCACCGATAAACAACTCCAATCCCATGACACAATCAAAATATTTATTATTTTCCTGAGATATTCGATTATAATTCTGCGTAACTTATGTCGGGAGCCTAGCAACCTTAAAATTAGGGTATTAGTCTATGCAGCTAAATTAATCGATCTAACAACGGTACACCAACCGGGGACCTTAACCGCGGAAGGGGACTATTGAAATTAGGGTTCATTGCTAATATTGATTTGGTAAGGAATAGGAGGGGTAAGCGGGTAAATCTCCGTTAGCCGTGGGCGGGGATGTAATGTCCCTACTACCATACCACAGTTTTGATGTAATAAATCAATCAAGTTTACTTTTATGTTATATTTTTTTTATCGGAAAAGAACTTTCTTAATGCATTATATCTTTTAATAGAAAAATATCATTATTTATTTATTTTTTATATTAAAAGTATATTGTAACAATATAATAATCATTACGTTATGGGGAGAAGTTATTTTAAGCAAAAAAAATACAAAAAAACCTATAAACAGCTGTGGTTCTTTCTTTTTTAAAAAAATCAAATCATAGCACTTTTTAATCATGAAAGTTTATAAGTGTAATTGTAATTATTTTATATTTGGAAATTTAAAAGGATGAAGAGGAAATATATAAAATACCCTTGTAAACAAAGTGTTGTGTTAGGATATTAGGTAAGAACTGACCTTCCTGTACAAGGTTAAGGCTGCTTTCGTAGTGGAGACCGATCCGATTTTTACATCCGTTCCGTCAAAAGTCAATCTCATTAAAAATGATATATATATGTTCATATTGCGTCCATTTCCGATACCTTCCGTCTTAAAAACGGATCCGTCTCCGCTTTGAATGCAGCCAAAGAGACCACCCTTTACAAATATGATAGGACGGAAATACTCTTTTTTAAAATATGTAAGTTTTCTTAAATTACCAGGTAACGAGTAACTATTATTTCCCCAAAACTAGCCCTGTAACGTAATGCGTAATGTGGTCAAAAGTAACGCCGTTACTAGTGACGTTATTTTTTTAGGGAAAGCTATATATTGGAAAGTGAGGAGTAGAAGTAACGGAGAAAGAACTAAGAATTCCATGTCAAATCGATCAAGAAAGGCACATTTTCTCAGGATCCCTTTTAAAAATTGCTAGTATCGTTTAGATCGGTAAAAAAAAATTAGAGAGTCGTTTTATAAATCATTTATCCTCACGGCCAGGCTAGAAACCCGTCCGGACCTATTGGCCGAGCCGTGATTGGCGGATCTCTAATGTGAATTGTAGTCATTTCATCAAAAGGAGACTACTAGGCATCTTTCTCAGTTTTTACTCTTATAGCTATGGCCCCTGCCACCTCTATCGTGGCCTTGGGCAAGAATCAAGCTGTACAAGGACTAGTTGGTGATATGGTAATAAGGAGTAAATAATAAGGATATTTTACGCTCAATTTTTTGTGTTACCGAGGTTCTATCGGCGATTAATTGGATTAAAATAATGCATTTCGAAAATGGAATTGGGATAATTAATAATTATCATTATCAACGTGTCTTTAAAATTGAGATATAAGGTTAACTAAATTTGTATGAACGCGTTGATGTAAAGAGTATAACACATTGTGCCAATTGTTTATCAGAAGAGTGCTCAATCAAAATTAATTATGTGTACAAAACTGGTGTGTCTTAATTAATTAATACATATATTGTTTTAAAATTTTAGTAACTAATTTTTAAAATGAAGAATATGTTTTTTCTATCTGAGAAATAAAATTCCTTTGATGATAGTTTTAACATCCCGCATAGCCAGGTCTAAAAACCTGTCCCAGAAGCTGGAAAAAATAGTCCCATAATCTTAGTGATCTGCATCGGGCCTAATATTCAAGCCTGGCCTGGCTAAAAGATTTTCCTGCATATTTGTCAGGTTTCAATCCTGAACAAATTTTTTTTTTATTTGTTTCGACAAGTTTGGCCCATAAATAAAAGTTATTTGTCTGCACAGCCTGGCATAAAATTATATAAATATAAAATATTTTAACATTTTTTAAATTGTAAAAAAAAAAATATATATATATATATTTCTTAAAAAATAACTTTCGTGCAAGAATTTTAAAATATTTCAATTTATTGAATAATATCACTTTTCAAAAATTTAAGATCAGCATGGCTAAAAAAAATATTAGGCTAGACCCAGCCTGAACCAAAACTATTTTATCTCTACTAGGCCTTGTAACTAGTGAAAAAAATTTTTAATTTGTGCACAATATTTATACCAGTTGAAAGAAAAGAAAAGAAAAGAAAAGAAAAGAAAAGAAAAGAAAGAAATTTTCTTCTCTAAAAAAATAAATAAATAAACCTTTGAATAATGCAAATTAAGTATTTCAATTTCATAGAAAAATAATTATAGTCCATCCAGAATGGGATTAAAATAAATTGAGCCAAGTCATGCAACTTGTTTAAATTATTATGGGCCAGACTGAAAAAAAACATTTTTTAAAAAATTTTTGCAAGCTGGTTTGGGCTAGATGATTTCTTATATTACTAATATAAATTTTTCATAATTAAACCAGCCCAGATTTTTTTTCAAAAATTTTTTTGGCCCTGCCCCGGGTCTTGTTTAAAATAAAATTTCAGGTTTGGCCTGGATTTTTTTTTGAAATATATTATATAATTATATATGATTTTTATAGCTAATAATGGCGATTTCAAATATTTGGTTTTAAAATATATGGCCCAGGTATCCGGGCCTGGCTTAGGGTCGGGCCTGCAATTCTGATAACTAGGGATCCGAAATAATCCCATTTACGAAGGGAAAAATAACAAATTTACAATAATCTGTAATCATTATATAAAATTATAATATCGGCATATTGTTAACTACATTGCAAACCCCCCGTTTTTGACACTTTGCAACTTCCTGTTTATCAAAGATTAGCCGGCCATCAGACCATGGTTGACTTTTCCTGGGAATGGTGCGAATGCGCGAAATATTTATTGACAAGTGTAAAAACGTATTTGGTAGACATCGTTTTTTTTTCAAAATATTTTTCAACCACTCCCCACCCCTTCCTTTTATTGAGGTCAGGCCAAAAAACCTAAAAAATATTTTTGTGGAATGGTTTTAGCTGGTCTGTGCATACCTTTAATAGGGGCATTCCATGTTCAATGATTTAGACATTTTTAATTAAATATTAATGTATTGATAATAAACATATTCGTGAGTTCCATCATATCGAATTGGAGTTAGTTAAAATAACATTTGTTTGTTTTTAGAACTGCAACAACATGGATAAAAAAAAATTTAATAGTATTTTTTTAACAAAATAGGCTAAAAGATGGCATTATAATTTGAAATTTTATACTAAATATTAGTCATTTGAGAGTTTTTAAAAAAAAGGAAAACAGGTGAGACTTTGAAGACCCGCAACTCCAGATATAGTTGAGACAGCTTTAAAACTTTGATTTATTTAAATTGACACACTAATATATTATATTTTGTTTGCTTTAAAATGGGTCCTTCAAGATAATTTGGGATGAAATGACTTAATAGAGATATATACTTGTCATAACAAAGACAAACTGACTCATTTATGTGCATACAAATTGATTTTGCTAAAAAAAATGTCTGATACATATGTTTGAAGAAGTCTGCAATGGGTGAATTAAATAACTTAAAAATTGAGCAAGCATATGGAGATGGACTAACCCTATTTTTAAAACAAGAAAGTGGTTGGTTGATCAGCAGATTTCAAATATTTTCCAAGTGGAATAAGTAGAATGGGCATATATTTATAATTTTATTTATTTGATAGATAGAATAATTAAAGAGACAAATCAAATAATATTTAATCTTTGGGTGGGACAGATGTTAAAATAAAATACGCTGGCAATTTTGTTTAAAACCATGGGTAAGTGGGTTAAAACTGCTTATTGCAGATCTATAGTTTGTAGTGCTACAATGATATGCTGGATATTGATTGTTATAAATTTTATATTTTTCTCATTAAAAATCAAAGGAAATTATAAATATTAAAGGGACATTGAAATTTTTTTAATAAATAAAAAAGGATACAAATTTAGTGGTTATAAAAATCTTTTATTTATAAATGATTGGTATAAGATTTTCAAAATATCTTACAATGATATATATAAATAATATAATTAATTATATATCTTGAAAAATTATTACACTAAAAATTATGGTGTCAAAAAATTCAATTTTTAAAAATGAAAAATCAATAATTTATATTCAAAAAAATATTGATCCAATATGGCGAAAATATGACGGTCTAGCACATGTAATTTGATTTAATATAACATATATTATGTGTAATTGAAAAAATAATTATCAGGATAATGAAAAAATACCTTCGCAGGTGTTTTATTTGTAAGCTTAGCCAGGACTATATTAGAAATGAATACGGGAGAAAAGATATTTTATCTCTTAATAAGTAATTATTAAGATTACATAGTTTTAATTTTATTTAAATGAAGTAAAGAAAAGAAAAGATTCGTTTTCATAAACAGAAATTACTAAATTTAAAAGGAATATATTAATCATTAAAAATTATTAGAGAATATTTTATATCATAAAATATAATATAAAATTAATTATTATATACATAAAATATATGGAAAAATATTTTTACCCACAATTATGGAATTTGTAGGTATGATTTGAAAACAAAACGAAACCAAAAAATTTATTCCTAAAAAATAATATTACTTTAAATAATTATTATGGTTATTTATTTAATAAATAAATTAACTCTCATTAAATAAATAAAAATGATTCGTTTTTTAAAAAAAAATATATTAATTAGCCAACATTTTAAAACGGCTTAAAATTAATGTATATTATTATGGTGTATCTAAAATCCATCATATGTCCATGATTATTCCTAATTATATCTTTCTATAAATAGAATTAAATCGATTATCCCCTCCACTGGCTTATATCAACAAGCATGAGTATTTTATGGATATAGGCAATCTTTGAAAAAATAATTGTGGTTTCGTTCCCAATAACTATAACGGACAATTTTCTTAGCCGTTTTCGTATATTAGCTAGCTTAAATGAGGCATAACTTATCATTTAAAATATATTTCACCATATAACCTCAATAAATTTATAATAAGAAATGGTGTTATTTTAAGCATGATTCTACAATTTTAGAACATGCATGAATGAATAACATTGATATCATAGTACCTTTGTGCATAATAAAAAAAATCAACCTCTTTTAGTGTAGATACCCCAAATTACGCAATAATAAATCTTACTAAAATATTAGCATTTTAATTTTATAATATTATCTTATACTTTATTTTATACATATTAAGGTTACTATTTTCGTTTAAGATAAATATACAATTGTCATGTTGTCCAAAATAAATAAATGATATCTTATACTAAATTCAATAATATTATAAATATTTAAATACAACTATAAATTATACGGATCTTGATAAAATTTCAGCATAAATCATCATTTATAATCGGCCATTAAAAATATTTAATTCATAAATATTTTTATTTAACTCGTTATTTTAAACCCTAAATAATTCCCCAAAACGATATAATGTAAAAGTTTTTTATGTTTTTGTACATATTAAAATAAAAAATTAAAATATTTATGACGAATATAGATTTTAAATAAAATAGAAAATTGATATATGATATAGATTTTATTATACAAGCTATAAATTCTTTCATAAATTTGTAATTATAATAAAATGAGTTATACAATAAAATATTTATATCAAAATATAAAGGCAAATGTTAATTAATTTTAATAAAAATATATTATAAGGATCAAAAAATGGAATATAGTAAAAGTAAAGCGTTTTGAATATAAGGATCCACTACTACTTGATGCTATTAAAATTTGAAGGCATTTCCCACTTTTACATACCTAAAATATAATTATAAAATATCCTAAATGTATTAAATTTTAACAAAAAAATGTTAATTTTACTATGGGAAGTCAAAAATAAATTCCCAAATCAAATATATTATATGTATATACGCTAAATATAATTAAAATATTAAATATTTACCTGATTTTTTATTATTAAAAAATTATATTAGCTCTTTTAAATTTTTAAATCAATATATTTAAATGCATAACCAATCAAAAAAGATCGTTTTTTTTGAATATATCTATTTTTACGATAAATTAATTTTTTATTGGTTGAAACTTGAAAAGTTCTCATCCGTTATAAAATTTGAAAAAAAAAATAATTATTATTTTATTTTACGAACAAAAATATTCAGCTCAGAGGTCAGCGTGACGAAGCGTGGATATTTTAAGTGGTTAATTGGTCCAGCCCTTAGTTATTGTTTAGCAGTCTGGTAAAATAATGATAAACAAATTTGGGCTTTTTGGGATTTATCGGGGCCACACCGCCAAACTCTTATTCATTTAACATCACTCTACCCCATTTCCATCATCCTTTTCCTGAATTCATATTATGTTTGGGAAATCCTACAATGAATTTTTCAAAAATATGGTTTCTTACAAATCCCGTTGGTAAAGATGCTAATGTATCTTTATGACAGAACGAATAATCGGGACTTGGGATAAATTTGTCCGTTTTCCAGGCTTCCTTTCGACAACGCATTTTATGACAATTGGACTATTCGACAAAGTAATTGGAACAAAATTAATATTGATTGATATATAATCAGGGTTTTTCTTTTAAAAGAAAGGGTGTATTAAAAATAAACCATATTGTAATCCGCTCTGTAATTTTTTCCGTAATACGAATGGCAATACTGATCGGGTACGTAGGCGTAAATGTAGTGATAATACGTGGAATCTATCTTGTATAAATTAGTTTTTGAGATTGACTTTTTAAGGCAGCCACCATTTTTTCTAAATAAATTATAAATATAGTAAAGTACAAATTAACTATAAACAGCTTGATATGAAAGCAAATATGAAGGGAGGTTTAGTCATGAAGCAATGAAGCAAAAATGTAAAATCCAAGAGGCTGAAAGACAAGACCACCACCCCCTCTCCCCTCATTCTCTTTATGTAATTTTTTTAAGTTTATCTGACATTTTACTGTATTTTCAAAAATTTTATAAATACAAGAACAAGCAAGATGATTCACAACAGTAGGAGCAAAATAGACACTATCTTAACTCACTAATCCATATGAAGCTGTGCTATTAAAAGCAAATAAACCAATATAAAAATACGATGTAATTTGTGATAAAGAATAATTTCTTATTATGATCAACATTTTTCCATTCATTTATAATAAATAATTAAAGCCAAAGCATATCTATTTAATGTAAGGGGTAAAGGGTAGTATCCTGCAGAAAATCAATAAGAAATAAACACAGCTCCTGACCCAAAATATATTAATGTTATGTTTACTTCCTATTTTTTTAAATTTTTTTTGCTTAGTTCACAATTATAAAAAATTCAAAGTAACAGGAAAATTTTTAAAATAAAATTAAATGGAAAATATTTCTATTCATTTTCATATCATATTTTTTTTAAATAAATAAAATAGATAAAAATAATTATATTATCAAAGTTATTGGTTGAATATTCCAGATTAATTGCAAAATATTTGAAGTTTAAGATATCTTAGCTATACATTCTTTCTTTCTTTCTTTCTTTCTTTCTTTCTTTCTTTCTTTCTTTCTTTCTTTCTTTCTTTCTTTCTTTCTTTCTTTCTTTCTTTCTTTCTTTCTTTCTTTCTTTCTTTCTTTCTTTCTATTATAAGGAAGAAAAAAATTAGTTTGCTTTTCAGTAAAATTTTATAACCGTAAATTGTATCGGATGTAGAGAGAACTGCACTCCGACCATTGAAAATATTCCAATGATTTTAGATTGTATCCCATGATACCTCTCTCTTTAAGGTTTTGTCTACATGTAAATATCTGCTGTTCCTCCACTATATTGGTGCCAAATCCCGGATCGTGGTAGGCGCCTAATCTATAGATAATTTTTTTTCAAAAAAAATAATATATTTTTCTTTCTTGTTGTAATGTTTTGTAACGTTTTGATTATAATTTAAAAAAAATATGATAAAAAGTAAAGGAATAAAAACCATAAATATAATAGCGTGTCATTTTATCATACGTATTATTAGAACCAAGCGGGATAAGGAAGTGTTTCAAAAGAAACCCTTGTAATTCCCTCTTCCGTTACTTATTTTAAAAAAGACTGTGAGTGAATAAAAAATAGTCGCTACACAGAACCCTATAAACTCGCGGCCATTACCTTGTTCATTAAAATATTGGCGTCAAAGGGAAGTGGTAAACGTTGGTGGATGTTCATAAGTTTTTTAAATGTAACTTTTACTAGAACTCCATAATTTTTTTTAAAAAAATTAGCTTTTTAGTACCACTAAATATATAAAATAGCGAATATCCGGCATAAAATGATATCTAGATACAGATACATGCTATAAAATATATTTAGAAACAGATATCCAAACATTTTTTAAAATTTAATTTGATTTCGTACATGTTGTATTCCATATCAAATCAACTGAAGATTCAACCCTACCCTCTTCGATTTTTCTTTAAAAAATTTGTATGTAGTAGTAGTATATGTTAGCGTCAATGTTTTTTTTTCCGGGAATGTGTTATTTTTTCAACTTTGAGCGCGTTTTTTTTAATTTAAAATTTTTGATTTTACCGGAAATGCATTATATTATATTTGGAATACCTATCCTGTAAATTTCAGACAATTTTGCCACGAACATTTGAACTTTATATAATTTATATTAGTTTTTACAAGGTTTTTTTTATATAAATTATAAATGGCTCAAAGGTTAACCGCAAAACTATCTACAATTCACAAGATAGGTCTTCTAAACATGCTGGAATCCATTTCCGGTAAAATCAGATTTTTAGATTTAAAATAAAAACGCGCTCAACAAATGATTTAAAGTTGTAAAAAATAACATATTGCTATTAACATAGTAAAAAAATATATAATTTTAATTCCCAACTCAGCTCACTTCGTGAGATATGGCCATCCTTAGAAACGCGAAAATTCCAAAATACTAATTTTAAATATCTCAAAAGATAATTAAGCTGAAAACATAATTTTAATTTTTGTGATATAAAATTTATTCTATTAAATAGGTTTATCACCAAAAACCGGAAAATAGCTATAATGTAAAAATTGCTCTTTTTTTACTACTTTCAATTTTTTCTTACATATGGACATTAAAGTACCTTAAATTGTGCAAAAACCTAGGCTGGGACAAACAATGGTCCAGAAGTTTTTGCACCTTAAATATTGGTCACATGGCTAAAATGATTCATAAATATCATTTATATTAAACAAATACATATAGTAATTTTTTAAAATTTTTAAAAAAGAAAACTTAAAATTTAGAACATATAAAAAAAATAGGTTAGTGTAGGTTAGTGTACAATGAAGATCTCTGGGTTAGGCCTAATATGTTTATAAGTTCGGACCGGTGGTATTGTAAAAGCAATACCATCTAAATTCAATACCGTATTGATAATTTATGACCGAACCTCAACTTTTACGAATAAAATCTAAAATTAATGAATCAAATCGGTACATTTAAATTTATAATTATAATTTTTTATCAAGCAATAACAAATGAATATCTCTAACAATAAAAGAATACTAAGTAACAGAAAAATATCCTTTGCTGCCAATACTTAGTGACAGGAAATATCCTTCCTTTACTGCTTTAAA